AACACGACAGCGCCCGCTCGCAGATCAGCTGGGATGCCCTTTGGGCTGGATGCAAGCTGGACGCCAGTCACGCGGCCGTCTGAAAGCGTAAATTTTTCAGCAGAGCCCTCCGTAATCGTCAGCGATCGGTGCTGCGACGAACGAAGGATATGGCGAACCGCTTTTGCATAAAGGTTGCGATCGCACTGCGCCCTCGGGCCACGAACGGCAATCCCTCGCGACGCGTTGAGAGTACGAAACTGGATGGCGGCGTCATCTGCGGCACGCGGCATGACGCCGTCAAGGGCGTCGATTTCCCGGACCAAGTGGCCCTTGCCGATGCCGCCAATGCTCGGGTTGCAGCTCATGGCGCCGATGGAAGCGATGTTGTGCGTGAGCAGGGCGACGCTGGCGCCGGTACGCGCGGCGGCCGCAGCGGCTTCGCAGCCGGCGTGGCCGCCGCCGATAACGACTACATCGTAGAGAGGGGAAAAGGCGCGGGTGGTATGGGCGCGCATGAAGGATTGCGGCGGGTTGCGACGCCGGATCACACTCAACGATGGTCGGAGGGGAGGACATGGCGGTGAGCAGGGCGCGGATGAGCCAGCAGAGGAAGACTGTACCAGCTGCCGTAAAGCACGTGTGTGGCTTTTGGTACTGTACCACAGTACGGCCGGTGTGCTCTACGGCCATACTGTGCCCTACTGCACGCACTGCACAAAGTGAAACGAGGAATTCAGTATCTGAATGCGCCACACGTTTGTTTGAAAACTGCATTCGGTTTGGAGTCTTTGGAACCTCCTATCGAAATGGACTCACTTTATTTAAAGACAGGGCGATGTCCTATCGACTCTGAACCAAGACTGTGCAGCATATAAGGTGCTCGGCTATGAATGTACCTGCAACAACTGCAGACTTTGCTGTGACGGTCAGCGCATTGTTCCACTTCTTTACATGGCATGTGTACGCATACTTGGTAATGTACCTATTTTCAGAGTTGAAAATTATAGCGTTGGCGGACCAGAGTGTCTCCCGAGCCAGCGTCTCAACTCGTCGCTCTTTTCTGCCCACAGGGAGAGCTCTAAGCGAGTGAGTGGGAAAATGTGCATAAACCACAGGCATCAAAACACGAATGCGACCCGTTGGCCGAGTGTCGTTGCCCAAACAGTGGCTGTAAGGCCGTTAACAGGCATGGCAGCGAGGGGGGAGAGGGGGGGAAGGTAGGGTTGAGTGTCCGGGCCGAGAGCGAGGGCCAGCGATCCACACAACACAGGAGCTCTCTCCAACCTGCGAGAGGAGCCTTTAGTGTCTCATATTTGTTATTTCAGATAGGGAGAACGGACGAAACTTGGGCTTGAGAGGCCTGTCTTGACATCCCCATCGTGCTCTGAGGTGAAGCTGACATTACCCGAATATATGAGCCCGAATATATGAGGGCCGTTCCTAACGAAGAGTTCGATGTGCTAGCACGCAAGCACCCTGACATTTGGCATGAATGGATTGGTTGAACGGGAGTAAAAGCATTT